ATCCATAGTTTCCAACTGCTCAGACCACTACAACCTATTAATCCTCTCTTCCTGGAAAACTGCAGAAACCACAGGTTTCCCCAGGGGATCTGGGTTCCATGGTCCTGCTGGAGAGATTCCGGCTACAGATTGAGAGAGGACAGATCTCTGATTCCAATCAGCTGGTGTGGGGATAGACATTTTCACAAACTGGCACAAGGTCAGCTTTAATAACAGTTTTATGAGATGCTGGGTAACAACTCTGGGAAAGTCCTAAGGGTGAGCAGTTAATGTGCAGGCTTAAGGAAGCGTTTCCAGGAGCAGCAGAAAGAACAAACAAGTCTAACCTGAGCTCTTAGGAGAGAGAGAGAGAAAGGAGAGAGAGTCAGAGAGAGAGAGGCAGAGAAGCTCAATGTTCTTGAGAAGATGAAGAACTCTACCAGAAATCACTTAAATATATAAAGTGCGAAGGAAAAAAATCGTTCCATTTCTCCTTGTTAGCTTTCCCAACAGTCCAGTTAAGAACAAGAAATAGAAGAGGAAGACAAAAATGTGTTAGGCATTAGGCCAGGCTATAAAACAGAAGCAGGAAGAAGGGTGTTTTTCAAATCTGGGGTCAGCAAACTCCCATCTGTCGGGTAAACCCTACAACCTGGTTTCCCACAGAGCTTTCCTGGAACATCGTCCTACCCATTCATGTACATATTGTCTCTGGGCTTTGTCCCTACTCCAAAACTGTCATCACACTCTAAGGACCAGAAGAGCCTGAAATATTTACTGACACTCTTTTTTTTTACCCTTTGTTTTTTGGACCACACCCATCAATTCTCAGAGATTACTCCTGGCTCTGTGTTCAGGGATCACTCCTGGTGAAACTCAGGGTACTCTATGCAGTGCCAGGGATTGAATTTGAGTTGGCTCTGTGCAAGGCAAGTGCCTTACCCCCTAAACTATCTCTTCAGCCCTTTAATGATACTTTAAAATTATTATTATATTTTTATGGGTTTTACTCAGTGATGTTTAGGAACTACTCCTGTCTGTGTGCCCAGGAATCACTCCTAGGAGGAGATGGGGGAACCATAAGCGGTGCCAGAGAGCAAACAGACTCAAGTTTGCTCTGTGCCAGGCTATCTCCCCAAAGGAAACCCACCAAGAATTCTTTTTTCTTTTTCTGGTTTTTATGGCCATTCCTAGAGGTTCCTAGAGGTGGTGTTGGTGGGGGCTATTCTGGCTCTGTGCCTGGGGGACCATGTGTTCGGCCCCCAGAGATTGAATCCAGGCCTCCTGCATGCTGAAGTATGCTTTATATGTCCTCGACTTCTTGAGTTTCCTCTCTGGCCCCAAAAGAAAAAAACTGTGTGAAGTAAAATAAGTTTATTTTATTCAGGGAAATTTATTTAAAGAATTACGTGTGTGGGGGATGAACAGAGGAATGTTTTCTTGCACAGAAACTTCTCCAGGAGAAAAAGCTGAACGTACCCATCTCAGGTAGAGATGCAGTTGAATCTCTGAGGTAGAGAATGTGCCATAAAGTTAAAGAAAGAAAGGAACGGCACATCTCAGATGGAGAAGCAGGTGAAACTCCAAGGTGGAGAACAAACAACCCTCAAATCTTATTTTTTGTTGTTTGGCTCCCAGAGGTGCTCAGACTTACTCCTGACTCTCTATTCAGGGGACCAAATGTAGTGCTGGGACTAACTTGGATTGGTCGCAAGCAAGATAGGTGTCCTTCTCTCACTCGCGCCCTTTGGATAGAGATAGTTCAGCAGGTAGGGCACTTGTCTTGCAAGCAGCCAACCTGGGTTTGATTCCCAGCACCCCATTTGGTCCCCTGAGCCCAGCCAGGAGAAAGCCCTGAGCACTGCCAGGTGTGGCCCCAAAATAAAACAAAACAACAACAACAACAACAACAAAACTAGTGTATCTTCCAGGGGGTCTTCTGTTCCCTTCTGCCTTGGAGATTAATAAACAAACAGAACATGTTACTTTGATGTAGATTTAAGGGCAGAGCGGGAGAGTCAATAACTGCATGTCGACACAGGAGTTCTGGTTACCAGAGAAGCTTTTCTGGAAAGAGTAGGGTTTGTTGGGACTATAGGAAGAGCAAGGACGAGGGTGTGGCAAGGTCATTCTGAATTTAATTATTTCCCCTCTAGAGTTACTCTGAGGTCTCTGTTTTGTTTCGGGTGTGGGGGGGGGCACACCTAGTGGTGGCAAGGACTTGAAGCAGGTAAGAGGTTACCAGGAGACAGGTTTGCAGGGCTACTTCCAGCTCCATATTGGGTGGCAGTAGGGGGCTATGCAGAACCACCATGAATTGCCAGGAACTGAACCCAAGACTTTGACATGCAAAGTATGTGCTGGGCCAAAGCAATAGTACAGCTGATAGGGCATCTGCCTTACACACAACCAAACCCAGATCCCCAGCATTCCATATGGTCCCCCACCCCCCACCCCAGCACAGCCAGGAGTGATTGCTGAGTACAGAGCCAGGAATAAGCACCCAGCATAGCTGAGTGTGGCCCCAAGCCAAACCACAACAAAAACAACAAAAAGCTTGTGCTTCAGCCCTTTGAACTATCTCCCTGGCCCCCAGTCTTTATATTTTAAATTCTTGAAAAGTAAATGTTGCACAATTGTCTAACTTTTTATGTGTATGCGTGTGGTGGTAGGCATTGAACCCAGGGCCTCACACATGCAAGGCACATGGTCTACTGATTTGTATTCATTTGGGGGCCACATTCAACATTGTTCATGACTTACTTCTGGTTCTGTGCTCAGGGATCACTCCTGGCAGGTTTTTAGGGGACAAGGGAACATCTGGGATTGAACAGGCACCCTACCATCTGTATTAGTGCTGCAGCCACAGCTACCTATTTTTAAGTACAGTTTAGTGGTAGTAAGGAAACTCAAGTTATAACTATTACATCTTACAATTCAAGATGAAATCAGAAGGTATTTAGGGGGAAAACAAGGTGAAGGAAGAGGGTAACAGGGCACAGTGGCTACTTCCAGTCTGGCACTGGGGTGTGTATGAGTGTAGCTTCCAGTGATGCTCAGGGACCATGCAGTGTCGAGAACACAATTCTGGGCTCCCACATGCAGAACCTGCACTCTGACCCTTTGTTTCTATAGCCCCCCCCCCCCCAAGATCCCTTTTAAATGTTGAGGGATGGGGACAGGAGAGACAAAGATGGACAGACTATCTGTCAATAAACCATATTGTTGGTCACAGGAAACTAATGCACTGTGTCCCTTGAGGTCCATGCATCAAAAAAAGTAATTTTTATTTACTTTTTTAGGTTACACCCAGCAGTGCTCAGGGGATACTCCTGGCAGTGGTCAGGGGAGCCCATATAATGCCAGGGATCAAACCAGGTTTGGCTGCATGCAAGACAAGTGACTTAATCCTTGTATTATCGCTCCAGCTTTGCATCATGCTTCTGAAGCCTGTCAAGGGTTAAGCTACCTTTTTCTTGGACCAAGTTTCAATCTACCATCCTCTGGCAAGCACTGCTGCTCTCAATACCTCTTTGAGGGTCTTTCCTTGGGCAAGGGTACAACGATGCTCCCTACTGGCCAGCACCCCACTAACAATGTCTCATATCTGTGGTCATAGTCCCTAACTAAACTTCCAAAGAGAGGTGAAAGCATCTGATTCTTATTTTTGGTTTTTGAGTCACTCCTGGGGATACTCAGAGTTCCTCTTGGCTCTGCACTCAGGGATCACTCCTGGTGGTGCTTGGGGGACCATATGGGATGCCAGAGGTGGGCTCTGTGCAAGGCAAATGCCTCACTAGCTGTACTATCTTCTCATCCTTAGGAGTCTTCATTCTAAAGTCCCACACTAGAACTCTAGAGAACTTCATCAGAGTAAAGATTTATTACTGCCAAACACAGTAACAAGAAGTCTCAGAATGGAGATGTTACTGGGTCCCCTCGAGCAAATCGATGAACAACTGGAGGACACTGATACATACTAGGAAGGTGGGAGGAATACATAGAAGTGAGGGAAGATAAATGTATATATATATATATATATATATATAAATCTCTTTATTATGGTGCTTCCCAAAACTCTGTACGAAAGTATCTATTGGGGCACCTTTTAAAGTCATAAATAGATCCTCTGTCCTTTCTGGAAGCTGAAGTGGGGTGAAACTGGTGAAATTTGTAACTAAAGATTGTAGGGCTCAGTTTCATGGTAGTTTACTGGGCACTTCTCTCTTGCTGGTGTGTCAAGGATCTGGGAATTGACTATTTGAAGGACAGTGCGGGCATGACGCATCCTCCTCACCTATAAAACGAGTAATAACTGATGATTAATTTTTTATTTTATTGGGGGTGGTGGTGGTTTGGGCACACTTGTTGGTGCTCAGTTTTACTCCTAGCTCTGGACTCCAGGATTCACTCCTGGCGGTGGTGGGGTCTTGAAGGGGGGGGGGGTGCCGACCATCTGCAAGGCAAGCACCTTATCCTGGATTCTCCAGTCCCAGACATGAGTAATTACCATCGAGGCCTGAATCCTCCCAAGCTTGGAGCGGCTTAGCAAGAGGGTAACTGGCTGATGAGCACCGGCAAAGGCCGGTATTCCGAACGGAACCTCCGAGTCCAGAACCGATGCCCAGTAGAACGAGAACCTGGGGGCCGGTCCGTGTCTCCTGCTGCCGAGGTCCCCTTCCAGGCTTTCGGGAGCCGCGAGCGTGGAGAGTCGGGTCGGGGCCCCGAGCCCGCCGGGCAGCGCCGGGCGCCGGCGGGCGATTGTGGGCGGGAGGCCTGGCGGTTACCATGGCAGCCCCCGCTTCCCAGCCCCGCCCCCCTTTGCTGGTCTGGGGTGAAGACCCCAGCGCGGCGGGGAGGCGCGGCCGCTCACTCCGCCGTGGGGTCCCCCTCGAAGGCACAGCCTTTCCCGCCGGAGCCACGGGGCGAGAAGGCGCGCGTGGCGGCGGCGGCGGCGGCGGCGGCGGCGACGGGCGGCGGCGGCGTCACTTCCGGCTGGGCGGGCGAGTTCCGGTATTTCAGGGCGGAGTAGGCGGAAGTGGGGCTGAGGGGCGGCTGGAGCGCCGAGCGCAGGCACAGGCGGCTGAGAAGGCAGCAAAGCAGGGTCGGGGGGACCATGGCCGGGATCACCACCATCGAGGCGGTGAAGCGCAAGATCCAGGTTCTGCAGCAGCAGGCCGACGACGCGGAGGAGAGGGCCGAGCGCCTGCAGCGGGAAGTGGAGGGCGAAAGGCGGGCCCGGGAACAGGTATCGAGCGCGCGGGCGGGCGGACGGGCGCGCTGGGGCCGCCGCGAGCGACCCTGAACTGGGCCGCTTTGGGGCTGGGCTCTGGGTTCTTTTTCTGTTTTATTTTTTGATGCTTCCCTTTTTGCGGGGCAGCCCAACCCTCTCGGACCCGGCTGGGGTGGGCGGAAGCCGTGCAGTGGGCGCCCCGAATTGGGTGGGGCTGCGCTTCTGGGGCTGGGGCGCGGCGGGGCGCCGGGGGTGCCTTTCCGCCTCCTCTCTGTCCCCGGCTCATTCATTCGCCCGGTCGGGCCCGGGCGCGGCGCGGCGGGGGGCGGGGAGGGGGCTCCCGTGCCCCTATCCGAAGGGTCCGGCGCCGTCGGCGGGAGCCTTCCCGGGCCGGGAGCAGCGGGGCCCAAACGGGCGGCGAAAGGGGGCGTCTGGGGCGGGCGGGGGTCGCCGGAAAGCCCCCGGCCCGGCGTGCTGGCAGCTTTTCCGCTCCCTCCGCCCTCGCTGCTCAGGAAATGAGGCAGCCGCCCTCCGGGAGGAAGCGCGGTGCCCTCGGCGCGGAGCTGGAGGCCGCGGCCGCCCCTCCCATCCTCCCGCCTGGGGCCCTTTTCCTCTTTCGGGGAGCCCTCGCCTCTGCTCCCCTCCTCCACGCGCCCAGTGGGCGGACGGCGCCTCTCCGTCGGCCCGAGCCCAAGGGTGGGACCCCCGGCCGGCCGGGGCGGAAGCTGCTGCCGGATTCGGGCCTGGATTGCTGGCGGGTGCCGGCGTGTGCCGTCCGCCGGGGTTTCCGGCCCGGGGTTCCCCGGGAGCGCCGAGGCGAGCCCCGCCGCGCCTGTTCTTCCCCCTGGCCCACAGGCGTCCTGCTGCTGCTTCTCAAAGGCTCGGGCCGCCTTCGAACCTGGGCACCTCGGCGAGGCCGCTGTGGGCGGGGAGGGCTTTTGTTGCCGGGGGAGCCCGAGGATTTGCCCCGGTTTCGGATGCAGTTGGGTGGGTGGAGGTCGGGGGGTGGACCTCCCCAGCGGAGGTCGGGGTTTCGGAAATTGAAGCCCCTCCTGCAGGGATCCTTGGTGGTGGTGGTGTTTCGCAGATGCCCCTTGTTCTTTGCGGGCTCCGTCCCAGGCTCCTCCGCAGGGGAGTAGGAGGAGCCCTCTCGAGGTTAAAACTTGACGATCGTTGGAAAACTCTGCTCTGGGGAGTGCCGCCAATTTGTCTTCCGCCTTCGCCTTTTCTTCAGTGGGTTCTTCCTCTCTTCGTTAAGTCAGCAACTGCCCATGCCAGTTCAGGTGCAGTGTGCCGTCTGGTTGACTCTGTGACTTACTGACACTTTCTCATTGCCTTTGTTTTGGAGACTAGATCCCCTGAAAGGGGAAGACAGGGTGACTTGGGGACCCGTGTAAATAGGATTTACACTAGGACTAGTTCTAGGTCCCTGCTCTCTTTTGCGTTTTGTCTTTGGGCCACAACCTGCCATGCACAAAATTGACTCTAGGCTTTGAGCCCAAGGATCACTGGTGGCAGGGGCTTGGTGGCGCCTATGATGTGCCGCGGATTGAGTCCATCCAGTGCAAGGCAAGTTCCCAGCTGAACTCTCTCCAGCCCCTACATCAGTGTCCTAGTAGGAGAATGTGGCCCCTTTGCTCCTGGGCGGGGTGGTAGTAGTCAGCAGGGTGAGTAGTCGCAGGTGTGGTCACTTCTCTTTTAGAACTTGCCCCATTTGCTCCCTGGGCTGAACTCATAGAGCGGCCTTCAGGGAGGAAGTGGCGCCCTACACATTGGTGAGGCAGCTCTCCTGGGCCGCAGAGTCCGGAAACCCTGACACTGCTTTGGTGAACTCAGAGCCCTTTCTGAGGAGGAGACACCCGTGGGAAAGGAGCGGTGCGCATGGGCTCCCTGTTATCCTCCAAGGGCTTCCTGGAATCCGGGATTTTCAAAAAGGCTCCTCCCTTCTCTGGGGCTGGTGGCTTCACCCTCCCGGATGGTATTGAAGCTGGCAGTGGGGTTGCCACTCAGTCATTTTCTGGGTGCCTTGTGTAACTATCCATCCTTTTTGGGAAGCTGACCATTTCCATAGCTTTGGCTTTGTAGTGGGCTCTAGCTTTTTCTCTTTTATTTTTTTTTTTGGCCTTTGTCCTGGAAATAAACCTTGTTTTAACAGGGCACCATGTAAAATTCACTTTCGGTTTTGAATGCCTTTTGCATTCATCTTTAGACTTAAGTAGATTGCAAAGCAATATTTAATTACTTTTAAATATTTTTTAAAAATCAAGTGGTAAAATTTTTTTTTTCCTTTTTTGCTTTTTGGGTCACACCCGGCGATGCACAGGGGTTACTCCTGGCTCTGCACTCAGGAATTAGTCCTGGTGGTGCTCAGGGGACCATATGGGATGCTGGGAATCGAACCCCGGTCAGTCGGCCGCGTACAAGGCAAATGCCCTACCCGCTGTGCTATCGCTCCAGCCCCCAAAAATAAATTTGAAAGTTACCATTTAACCACTTTTAGGGAAGAGGGCTATCCCCAGTGGTGCTTCCACCAGAAGCTCAAGCCGCAGTGCTGCCAAATGTGGAGGACTCTGGCCTTTCTGGACTGTCACCCTGGACTCCATTTTTGACTTTTTAGTCATTTTTGTATTGGCAGTGCTCGGGGCTTGGGACCATATGGTGCTGGTGATCGAACCAGAGCCAGCCATAGGCAAGGCTCTCCTGTACTATCTCTCCAGCCCCCAATTTTGCCATCTTGAAGCATGTAGTTCATCTTCCTATTTTTAGGAATGCTGTTGAGAGAACAGAAGCAGTTTTGATTCTGGCCTTGTTCCCAAATTCCTTGTCTCTGGAGAGGGTTGAAACATCTGCTTGTTGGATGTATGTAGCTTTCTCCATCTGTGAGCTCAGAGAACCCACGATGTCACCTTTCTTTGGCTTAGACTTGCTTTCCTGTTGATAATCTTTCTCTTGCCCTCATCCTAGAGCACCTTCAGGAGAGGCAAAAGGCCCTTTGCTCTGAGCGCCTCAGTCTGGCTCCGCCTTTGTTTGCTCTGTGGCAGATAGCTCCTCTCCCTTCCCCTTTGCCTCTCCTTGTTGAGTTATCTCTTGGCAGTTACATTTGTGAGCACAGGGAACTCAGTGTAGGCCCTTACTTGCAGGGCTTGGCCCTTCCTAGACTCTGACTGTTGTCTTGAATTTTATCTGTGGCTTTTTTTTTTTTTTTAAGAAATGCCAAGTAGAAGAATGACAGATTTTGGTAAATTCTCCTCTTTCTTTGGCTCTAAATTTTGACTGCTAGTTCTTAATGCCTCCGGATGACAGGCTTGGGTGCTGGTGGGGTGCTTTGTGGGAAAGATGAAACACTTATTTGCTGTTTTGTTTGGGGTGCCTGGACAGAACCCTCGTGTGGTGTCACACAAGCACTGCAAGTGCCTTAAGGCTGCAGTAGGGTCTGAAGCTCCTGATTTTAAGTGGAAGTTACTTAAGAGTTGCACTTGACCATCTTAGGATAGGCCAGGGTTGCTGCTGTGCTCCCTTCCTCCTCCTAGAGATTGGAGAGTCCATTTAGGGTGGGGGTAAGGAGGTTGGGCCACATCCTGTGGTGCCAGGGGTACTCAGGGGATTGCGCCCTGCTGGGACTCACACCCAGGTCAGTGGACTTTCCCCGGGGGCCCTGAAAAGTCTCTTATTTATGTGGAGGAAGAACCTCAAAAATTGGGCAGAGGATGATCGGGCAAGCAGTAAGTGAAGTGGACCCTGCCTTTATTCTGACTCCATCTCTTGGTGTGACTTGATTGACCATCAAGGGCGCCTCCCCGCCCCGCCCCCCAGTTGTGGTGTTGTACTTAGGAAAATTCAGATGCCCTCCTTCCTGCAGAATGCATCTGCAGTCTTTGTTTCCTGGCAAAGAGAACTAATCCTCTGTGGGAGGAGGTGAAAAGGAGAACAGCAACTGCCCTACCTCAGACCCCACCCCTGAAGGGTCTCTGCACTTCCTCCTGGGTTCTGCTTTTGAAGCACGCTTGCTCAATTAGCACTTACTCTTGTGAGAGCACCAAGATGTGTTCTCCTCCTCCCTTTTCAGCCTTGCGAAGAATTCTATTGTAAATGCTGGTTTGTGGGAGAAACTGCCCGAGCCAGCTTGTTGTCATGGAAACTGTACACCCCCACCCCAGAGCTGTTATCTTTACTCCATTTGGGTAACTACTGGTGAGCTAGATGGAGACTTAGATTTCCTGAGCTTCCTCCCAATCTGGTTTCATTCTTCCTTTTTCTTCTTTTTTTCTTTCATTCCTTTTTTTTTTTTATAGCTCTAGGCATCTGAAAGGGCAAGGGGGATGGTAGGTGATACTGGCAGTGATGTAACCTGGTCTGTTGTCAGAATCTTGACCCACCAGCCTGTTCGAGATGTTGAGAGGAAATGTGTATGTTCCTTGGAGACATTTGTTTTCTATAAAGATAGGAGGACTAGGAAAATGAAAGACTTGTCTTCAGGATATTTTAAATAGTGCAGAGACACAAATGATGTCTTAGTCATTTTAGTGTATATAGGCTTTTCATTTTTCTTTTCCTGCCTCTGGTGGTTCTGTAGCCTTAGTCCCTGAACCCTTCCTTGTTTGTATTTAGGTTTTGATTTTGGACCATACCCAGTAGTTGGGGGCTACTCCTGGTTCTGCTCACTGGTCACTCCCAGTGGTTGCTGATGTACCATGCAGTGCCAGGGATCAAACCAGGGTCAGCTGCATGCAGGGCAGTCTTATCCCTTTTAACCCTTGTACTATCTTTTGGGTCCCTAGCTTTGTGTGTGTGTGTGGGTGGGTGGGTGGCGGCATCCTGTGGTACTCAGGGCTGACACCTGGCTGTGCTCAGGGAGTCACTCTGGCTGGGCTTGGAGAAACCCTTAGCATGCCAGGGATAGAAGCTGGGTTGACTGCATGCAAGCCCTATCTGCTGTACTAGATCTCCGGCCCCTATATTTGGAAATTTTTATGTCAGATAACCTGATTCCTTTTTTGGGCTCTATCCCTCCCCGTTGGGGCTAGTGGCCCAGATTATTTCTATAGCTGCTCCCACTCTTCACTGCCAGGAGGAAATCAGGGTAATAGAATTCAGGCACGATCTGAATCTGGGCTGGAGAAGAGAGATCGTGTTTACCCAGCTTGGATAAGTATCAGAACTGGGTGGTGTGCTGGCAGATTAAATTCTTGTGTGTGGCAGAGTCAGTGTACTTGCCAGCTAGGTGTGGGGAGGAGCAGTGGGAGGAGCTGGCTTTTCTGCCAGTAGGAATTGCCCCGGGAGCAGGAGTGCTGCTGTATCCTTGTTTCTCACTTCCATAGCCAAGGATAGGAGAGAGTCCTCCAACTCCTGTGCTTAATGAGGGGGTTCGCTGTGTGAGGCAGAATATCATCCTAAGTTATACTGGAGGGTGAAGTTAAGGGAATGATTTGGAAAATGACAAGTGATTACAATTCAAATTTGGAGAAATGGGGTTGTTAGCCTAGCAATAAAGCCCTTGCCTGCCAGTAGGAATTGTGAGACCCTGGGTTCAGTTCATAGCACTGCAGAAAACAAAAGAAGATGGGAAGAGAGGTGGGCACAGAGGAAATGTTCGTCTCTGTGCCCCCCCCACCCCAAGACGTCTGTTTTAGGGTTTGTTCCAGGAAGTAGGAGGACCATGCAGTGCCGTGATCAAATGGAGAGCGCCCAGTGCAAAGTCTGAACTGCAGCCCTCTGAGACATCTCTCTGACACCCTCATCCACTATTTTTCTTTGGTGGGGAGGGGCACACCAGCAGTGCTTGTGGCTTACTCCTGTGCTCAGAGGATCATATGGTGTTCTGGGGATTGAACTCGGTGTGGTCATGTCCAAGGCAAGTGCCCTACTAGCTGTACAATTGCTCTGGTGCCCAAAGCAGTCTTACCTAGTGAAGAGGTGGGGTTCAGGCCAGGGAGATGACGGAAAGGAGTGGAGTCACAGGTTTTGAATGTGGGAGGGCCATGGTCTATCCCTGACATAGCATGGGTTATGCTGAGTACTGTCAGAGTGAACTTTGAGCTGAGAGTAGTGAAGTCTTCCCTTCCTTACCCCCAATCCCCCATCCCCCTGGGGAAAAAAATGGCAAGAAAGGAGCATGGGAATTCCTGGTAATGTGGTTCCTGTATTATAGCACATGCCTTGTATTTCTTATTCCTAGCACTGCATGTCCCCTCCTCCAGTAGCCGTAGTATCCCCTAAGCACCTAGGAACCTAGGAATGTCCCTCCATAAAGGATGAGGAGCAAATATGCTAGTGGTCCATTCCTTCACTTCCTGTTCCAGAGGTGATTCTGGAAGATTTCCCTTGACTAATCTTCCTCCTATTGTATTAGGATAAGGTGGTTCGAGCATTCACTGCAGTTTAAGCAGCAAAGGAATACATCACTCAGGATTTTCTCCCTGAGGAACACTGCTTATTTTTCCACTTTGTCAGTCATGAGGAAGTAGCTGAAGAGTGAGACATACTCTAAACCAGAGTTTAGGCAGAACTCTTTCAGTGGCTTTCTTTTTTGGCTTTTCAGGTCATGCTCAGGGGTTACTCCTGGCTCTGCACTCAGGAATCACTCCTGGCAGTGCTCGGGTGACCATATGGGATGCTGGGAATCCATCCCGGGTTGGTGGCGTGCAAGGCAAACGCCCTACCCACTCTGCTATCGCTCTAGCCCATCAGTGGCTTTCTTTCCTCACCAAGGGTCTGAATGGGTCATTGGGAATTTGAATCCAGAAAGGGGGTGGTGCTGACTGACACTGGGCTGATCAAGGAATTGAGATTTGTTTATTGCTGCGGGGGGAGGGGGGACATCCAGCAATGCTCAGGGATCACTCCTGGCAGGCTTGGGGACCAGAAGGGATGCTGGGGATTGACTGGGTTGGCTTCTTGCCAGGCAAGTGCCCTATCTGCTGTACTAAGATATACTCCAACTCCAGGAACTGAGTTTTGAAATCCTCTTCCTGTGGCTCCTATGGGAGTTTATTGCTGGAAAAGGGAGGAAATCTAAACATAACCACACTGTGCCAGCTAGATCTTGCATTTATCTGAGCTAAGACAGGGCCTGCTCAGCCAGATTCTCACTTCCCCATAGTTCCCATCCTGCTTTTCACCATGTCTGACTCCTTTTTTCATTCTTCCATTTGGCGGCAGGCCGAGGCTGAGGTGGCATCTTTGAACCGGAGGATCCAGCTGGTTGAAGAGGAACTGGACCGTGCTCAGGAGCGCCTGGCGACTGCCCTGCAAAAGCTGGAGGAAGCTGAGAAAGCAGCTGATGAGAGTGAGAGGTGTGAAGAGGGCCCTGCCTGGTGGAGCGCAGATTCCAAAAGTTCAGAATTGCTCTGATCAAGAATTCCTGTTTTGGGGGGCCAAATACTCGTCTGTGCTCAGGGCTTACTCCTGGCGCTGTGTTCCGGGATCACTTCTGGTGGTGCTTGGAGGACTATACGGATTGCTGAGGATCAAACCCTGGTCAGCGTGTGCAAGGCAATGCCCTACCCACTGTACTATTGCTCCGCCCCCTGGTCGAGAGTTTCTTATAGATGTGTTCTTTAAAATCATGGCCTCTTGGACTGAGAGCTTTCCTTCTGCTCTGGTTCTTTCTTGTATTTTGGGGCCATAGCCTGCAGTGCTTAGAGGCTTCTCCTCTGGGATCGAACCTGGTCCTCCCACATGCCAAGCACTTGGCTCAGCCAGCTAAGTTTTCTCTATCTCTGAAAACTCCTCTTGAGAAGGGCTGCTTACCCTGTAATCCTTTCATCTTTTTGTTTTTGGGCCACACTCAGTGATGCTCAAGGCTTAATTCCTGGTGGTCCTCAGAGGACTGACCATATTGGGATGCCAGAGATTGAACTTGTTTGGCTGTGTGCAAGGCAAACCTTTACCCCTGCTATTGCTCCAGTCTTCCTTTCATCCTTTTTAAAAGTAAAGGCCATACCTGTTGTCAGTGAGAATGTCAGGGATTTAATCCGGGCCTCCCACATGCATGTGCCCTACCTCTTTAGCTGTCCCCATTCCATCGCTGTGATTGTTTTTTTTTTTTCTTTTAAGAAATGGACAAAATAATTCTTACGTGAATTTGCAGTACGCCTCTACATTTTGTGGATCGTAAACTACTTTGTGAGATGAGCTTCTCTAAAGAAGTGATCCTCACAGGGAGGCCCTTGACCAGCAGCACCTGGGAACTTTTGTAGAAATTGATTCTCAGCCCTTTCCGGGATCTAGCAGTCACGTCTTTGTTCATAAATTTTGGATTTCTCCCCTATTTTTTGTTGGGTGGGGCACAGGGGGCTGTTTGGGCAATACCTGGTGGTGCTTCAGGCTCATCTGGCACTGAAGAGACAGACCCCTGGCATTGCTCTCAGGGGACTGTGTGTGTGTGGTGCCCAGTACTGAGCCATGTACCCAGTACATCGCTGAAGTGGCAGCATGCAAGGAGGTGCTTTCCTACCTCTTCTGTACTCTCTCTTGGCCCTGAAAGTGTATTTTGTTTTGTTGCAGTGGGTGGATGGGTCCGGGCCCACCTGGCAGTACTCACTCTGAGATGTGCTTGGCACCATGTAGTGCCTGAGATCGAACTCAGGCCTTCCACATGCAAAGCCTGTTCTCTGTTTGATCATTCAGAAACTCTGGAGGGTGGAGCCCAGCAGTTTGAATTTTACTTATTTTTTCTGTGCTTTGGGGCCACGCCCAGTGGTGCTTAGGCGTTACTCCTGGCTCTGTACTCAGTAATTACTCCTGGCGGTGCTCAAAGTTCCATTTGGGATACCAGAGACCAAACGTGGGTTGGCTGTGTGCAAGCCAAGCGCCCTGTCTGCTGTACTATGTCTCTGACCCCATTTTGTGTGATGTTTTATTAAATTGTTATTTGGGCCACACCAGTGATGCTCAGGGGCTATTGGCTCTGTATTCAGGCATTGCTCCCTGCAGTGCTTTAGTGCTAGGGATGGAACTTGAGGCCTCTGCATGCAAAGCCTGTGCTCAGCCCATTGAGGTCTCCAGCCTCTCGGTCAGAAACTCTGGAGCATGAATCCAGCCATTAGAATTTTCATAATTTTATGGGGAGGGGGTGCAGGGTGCCCGGCACACAGGGCTTACTTTCAGCTCTGCACTTATGAATTAACTTCTGATGGGGCTTCAGAGACCATATAGGGTACCAGGGATAGAACCTGGGTCTGCCACGTGCAAGGCAAGAGCCTTACACTCTCTCTCTCTCTCTCTCTCTCTCTCTCTCTCTCTCTCTCTCTCCAGGGATTAGGAGTTCAGCAAGCACTTTGAACCCTGATTATGCACCATTAGAATCGTAGAAGTGAGAAATGGGGGTCTTTGGGGAGTTCTAAAATGTTAGAATGCCTTGATTCCATCACACTTTGATTATTCACAAGAGGGAGACCTGGATATAAATGTTTCTAAAGTGTATCCAGGGTTGAGAAATCACTACTCTTTTGTTGACAGTCTGTGCTTTCTACCTAAGAATTGATCTCATACAGATGTGTGGGGCACTGCATGGGTTCAGGTTTCTTCTTGGAGCACATTAACCCTATGCAGCTGGGACGGAATGTGGCAGTTTTGAGATACCATTACCAAGCAGTGCCCAATTTCTAAAGCAGTGCAGAGAACTGTAGTATACAATTCCTATAGAAGTGGAGAGATCACCATGAGACTTTCTTTCTTTCTTTCTTTTTTTTTTTTGCCTTTATTTTCTATACAAAATATTTCCAGAAGGATTTTGCATATTGCCTGAGGGGTTCGAGAAGTGAGGAGACTTCTGCTTTTTGCTTTATGGCCTCAGATTATGTTTAATTTCGTGTGTGTGTGTGTGTGTGTGTGTGTGTGTGTGTGTGTGAAGTCTGAAACTAATTAAATGAAGGTGTAGTGCTTTGGGACGTGCACAGGAGGAACGGGCTACAGATGGTTCCTTGAAAGGGCATGTGTGCCATGTTTGTCCTTGTCATTTCTCCCAGAGGGATGAAGGTCATTGAAAACCGAGCTTTAAAAGATGAAGAAAAAATGGAACTTCAAGAAATTCAACTCAAAGAAGCTAAGCATATTGCAGAAGAGGCAGACCGGAAGTATGAAGAGGTGAGCTTCACTTTCTCTGTCTTCTGTCATCAGCCGTCCCAGACTCTTCAAGAGAGCGCTGGGTCTGGTGTTGAAGCTCCATGGTAGAATGTTGGCCTTGGTTGTGAGAGATCCCGGTCTCCCACTCTCCCTGCACCACTCTCTCTTGCCACCTTTTGTCTCTTCTTTCCCAGTTACTCCCCTGCTTCTCCAACAAGTCTCTCTTTCCCTTGGGGAACTTGGGGCCCTATGAGGGCTGGGACATGCCCAGGAGGAACGGGCTAGCAGATCAAGAAATGAATGGATGGGCCAGGAGAATTAGAAGGGGAGAGTGTGACCCCTGTGGCTCACTGAACTCTGCCTTGCCTTCTCTTGTAGGTGGCTCGTAAATTGGTGATTATTGAGGGTGACTTGGAACGCACAGAGGAACGGGCTGAGCTGGCCGAGTCGTGAGTATCTTGCTCCCCAGATCTTAAGCCTTTTGTCCCTTTCCCTTTGGCTTGGGCATGAATGTTTGGCTTGGACACTAGCTTTCCTTCAACCTTGTTACACAGGGCCTAGAACATGGGAGCCGTCGCTGGTTCTTCCTGGGGCCCTGAGAGTGGTTTGGGACTTTCTTACTGTCTTGACCGGGGACCAGGGACACATGAGGCTTTTATACTGTTGTCGGGGAGTTGATGGTGGGGGGGGGGTGGGTACAAGTTGGGAGGCAAAGAGATTAATAAGAGGGTGAACTGTTAACTGGATGGCCCTTCTGGGTCCTGGGATCTTATGGTCCCTTGAGGTATTGAGGTGCCTTAAGTCTCTTTTTCCCACTTGCCAGTGTGCTGGGGGACGTTAGGGAAGAGGCAGATGTGAAATGCCACATATTGGCACCTTCTGGGCCTTGTATAACAAAGTCAGTGCTGATGCATAGATATTTGTGCTTCGGTGGCATCCCCTCTCTCAGACATGACATATCATGACCATGGTGGTGTTTGGCGTGTTTTTTTGATTTTTTTTTTCTCCTTCCATTTTGCTGCTTGTTTTCTTGCTGTGTTCCCCTTTTTTTTTTTTTTTTTGACTTTTCTCCCTCCACAACCTGGCTTGTTGCGATCCCCCCCATGACTATCACTAACAGCCGTTGCCGAGAGATGGATGAGCAGATCAGACTGATGGACCAGAACCTGAAGTGTCTGAGTGCTGCTGAGGAAAAGGTACTAACCTTAGACCCAGAGTGGTTCTGTGTGTGGTGTGGTTCTGTTTGGTTTGGTTTTGGTTTGGTTTTGTATTGCAGCCGCCTCCCCTCCACTGGTGATGTACTGAGTGCTTTCTCGTCTCCTCATGGAATGCTCCACTCTTCTCCACTCTTTTGCCACCTTTCATCTCTTCTTTCCCAGTCGCTCCCCTGCTTCTCCAACAGGGTCTCTCTTTCCCTTGGGGGACTTGGGGCCCTACTGGGGCTGGGCATCTGTTCCCACCTCCACCTGAGGTCGGAGTTAGGACTCATTCCCAGAAGTGATTTCTTGCAGGCATTTCTTTTTTAGTATGCAAACATTTTGAGTCCTCACCCAGGAGGGCCCAGCTCCTGACATGGTCGATGGTAGAGGTGGGAGGGTGATGCTTGCTCAGATTACCCGGAACTTCTCTTTTCCCCAGTAGCCTTTCAACTCTCTCTCTCTCTACATATAGGTTCAATTCATGTCTGTATGTCTCTCTCCCCCCCCCCTTTTTTTTTATTCTCTTCTTCTCCCCTTTCCTCTCCTGTGGTATTTAAAATATTCACAGTAAGTGTTCTGAGCTGGAGGAGGAGCTGAAGAATGTCACCAACAACCTCAAGTCTCTTGAGGCCCAGGCGGAGAAGGTAGGGGCTGGTTTGTGAGAGTGACAGGTGTTGGGGCCTGGGCTCAGCCCTGCCTGGGTGAAATGGCTGCAGACACCCATTCCTTATAGTCCGGGGAGAAGTGTCGTGCACCCCATCTGCCCTCGGTCCACACTACAGATCTAATGCTAATTCCTGTGCACTTGAGTGCTGTAGCTCCAGTGGCTTCCTGGTCTGAGGTTAAAGTTGATACTGCTATATAGAAAGAATAGCAGTAGGTGTGGGTTCTCCTGAATTCTCTGACAGACAGATGGGGCAGCAAATTGTGTCAGATCTGAGACCTAGTGAGCAATTGAGACAGATGGCTTCTCTTTACTACCATGTGGGGCTGCCACAGTCAGTGAGACTCCACTAATGAAGCGGGAGAACTCAACAAATGTCTCCCCAGCTCTGCCTAAACATGATCAGAGCTTAGGTCCATTTAGAAAACGAAAACTTAACATATTCTAATCGAGGGCTCCTGGCTTGAAGGATATGGATTTGGGGGTTTTAAAGAATTGTCCGGAAATGGGTCTTGCTCTACCTCATGGATCGTTTAGTACATAAAATCCAAAAGGATACTTCAAAAGTGTGAGAATAAAATCCAAAAGTGTGAGTAAAGGTAGGGAGGGGGGCACTGCCTGTGCAGGTACTTTCTACGCTGAATTTTTTATTCTGCCTCTCTTACAGTATTCTCAAAAAGAAGATAAATATGAAGAAGAGATAAAGATTCTTACTGATAAACTCAAGGAGGTGAGTTGAGGAGGGATGGATTATAGGGGAGAAGGACTGAAATATTTAAAAGTTAAATCTCAGGCTGTAGTTTGGTCTTTGGCTGGCTTTGGTTTTGAAAGGTATGGAATAGATCCTTCTTTGTCTTGTTCATCGCTGATTCTGATTGGTTTCTTGTCTCCCCCGGCAGGCAGAGACCCGTGCTGAGTTTGCTGAGAGATCAGTAGCCAAGCTGGAAAAGACAATTGATGATTTGGAAGGTACGGAACCCAGGAGAGCGATTATAATAGGAAACGATGGAGGAAGTACTTTGACATTAGTCTCTCTCCCGGTGCACAGAAGGAACTGGTAGTGACTTGGTAGCACCCTGTGTCCTGTCCTGTTGAATTTTTAAGGTTTTAAGATTTTCTTTCATCGGCCTTTACCCGCTCTGGGATTTGTTTTCTTCCTTTGGAGGAAGCTAGCAGTGACTGCATTTGCCTCCAGACTAGTGGTCCTATTCATCTCTACACTGAAATGGTAACTGCACTTTGAGAAGGTGGCTGGACCATGTGACAGCCCTTGGCTACATGTGGTTATCTCTTTGGTTCACCACTTAAGTTGTGGGAAACTTAAGAGACACATAACCGTGTCTCGGCTGACCAGTACCAAGTACTTCCCGGCTATTCCTCTCCCCCTTCTTTGGAGAACAGGGTCCATCCTGTTAAGGGAAAGTATGTTTGTCTTTGAGAACGCCCAGAGGCTCCTTGGTATGTAAAGGGTAGCAGGGTAGTCTTCGGGAGAGTTTGGAATTCAAACTGGAGCACAGGAGACAGGATCACTGATCATACTTGGTAAGGCAGAGAACATGTGTCTGTGCAGCGAAGGCTCCTTGCTCCTTGGACTTCTGTTAAATTGAACATTATGGCTGTGAGGAAGGGCTCACTGGGGAGGGAGGAGGAGTAGGTTTGCCTTTGTAATAGGGATTTCTAGTTGTGTTCTCAAACACATTCTCAACCCTTCTCTAGTCAGAGCTGTTAAGAAGCCCCATTAACCCTGGGGACATTGGATCTGGAAAATGACTAGTTTCGGCTATCAGTAAGAATGTTCTCTTAACTGTGGTATTAGAACCACAGTCAGACTTTCCCTAATTTCTAATGATTCCCTCTCTTCATCTGCTTCTGATACCTTTCACTCTGTCCCCTCGTTCCTCCCCGTGGTTCCTGTGCCTGCCCAGATGAGCTCTATGCCCAGAAACTGAAGTACAAGGCCATTAGCGAGGAGCTGGACCACGCCCTCAATGACATGACCTCTATGTAACTATCTGACAGCAGAGTGGGGCTGGGATCTTGGCTTGTGGGTGGGTGTCGGGTACAGGCCGCCAGCCATGCAATGTGCGCTTTGGTTTTGCCTTCTGGAAAGTAGAGTCCCCACCTTTATTTTTTAAAGTATTGGTGCTGGTTACTTGTTGGCAAAAGCCAGGGCAGTTTAGAATCTCAATCCACATGCCATTTTTTTGTTTTTAATTTAGAGTTCTTTCAACAACACCACATTTTGTCTTCCAAATTTAGTTTCAGAAGAAATACTGCTGAAGATAGAATAATTTTTTTCATACAGCTTAAGGACCAACTGGGCCCAGGGACTTAGGCCCAAGTATTGATCATAGCATTCACACTTCCTGGATATATTTGATTTATACCCTGATTAAAGTGCAGGAAGAACATCTCTAAATTGGAAATGGCATGTTTGCCTCAAGATTGAGCTGAGTCCCAGAGCATGCCAAATAGTAAAAAGCACCAAAGAGTTGTTGGGAACTTCATCTGTTTGCGGTGGTTCGGGTCCTTGATACTAATCTGCCTTTTTGTGTCTTTTCCACTAACCATGAAAAGAAGCCAAATAATCCAGGATGTAGTATCTGGCTCTCTTTCATCTTTCCTGCTGCCACCTTTTCCTCTTCCTCTTCGTCTTCCTTTCTCCCAGATTACTATTGGGACTGATGCAAGTTCTCACCTGTAGTTTCTGTACTTTTTCACACAGATAACTCACTGTTTCTGCTCTGTTGTGGATCTGCTCCCCCTTCCTCGGGGAACCCAACGACCCACTCATTCTGGATTCCACTTGGGTTGGCCTGGCTGGTCCCCAAGGTTATAGGGATTGGGGAGAGGCACGAAGCAATTTATGTTTTCTCTTTCACCCTCAACCCAAATTAAAATGTTAAAAGGCCAGAAGCCTCACACCCCCTTCATTTGTGTCATTGACAAAGCTGCTGCTGTCTGTGAGAACGGAGCATGGCGGGAATGACAAGGGGGACAGCCCTCGTGGACACTCTCTTCTGACTTAGATAATCACAGCCACGTGTGTGTGTCTATTTTTTTTCTTGACATTTAATCATACCTATCTTGAGTGTGGACTCAAGAATTCTAGTCTTAACAACTCATGCTAAAAAAAAAAAGGATGGTTTTGGTCCCTGTCTCTTAAAATAATCCCACCTGGAATGTTTCCATCATGTCCTCAGATTTTCCTCTTTTGATACAGTAGTGAGGAGTCAAACCATTGAAGTCCCTCCCAATACACAGTCTTGACCCTTTTACCAGTGATTTGGGTGATGCAGCCTCAGAGAGCGTGCTGTCCCCAAATGTATTAGCACAAACATTGACTGCCTGCGTCATCCTGAGTCACAAATACACAGTGTAAAGAATTCTCCAAAGTTTTTTGTTTCCTTTTGCAAACTTCTCTTCCATATTTGAGGCTCACTACCATTTAATTTGCCTACTACAGTGTGACAGTGGAATGTGAGACAGGATAAAAGGTCACTGGAAAAAATGAAAATAGCCAGTTTATGCATGTTGCAAATAAGGTATACAAGGTAATAATGATTTATTACATACAGAATGATTTATTACATACATTTATTACATAAAGAAATGTGGTTAGTTTCCACTAGAAAAATCATTTGCTTTATATTGTAGAATTAAATGTCAGTTTGCAAAGTCTGCACTATACAGGTGATTCAGTGGGGGTCATGGAGCTTTTGTACTTACCCAAGCACCTAGGTGTCATGCACTCAGTCCTTCAGTGTCTCAACAGAGAAAATACAACTTTTTCTTTGGATGAAACTGGATAATTTTTTATTGAAACTTACTTTAAAATGTGTGACGGGGGCTGGAGCAATAGCACGGCGGGTAGGGCATTTGCCTTGCACGCGGCCAACCCAGGTTCAATTCCCAGCATCCCATATGGTCCCCTGAGCACTGCCAGGAGTAATTCCTGAGTGCATGAGTCAGGAGTAAACCCTGTGCAATGCCGGGTGTGACCCAAAAAGCAAAAAAAAAAAAAAAAAAAAAAAAGTGTGACAGGGTTGGCTGGAGTGATAGTACAGTGGGTAGGGCTTTTGCTTGCATGCCGCTGACCCAGGTTTGATCACCAGCACCCCAAATGGCCCTCCTAGCCCACCAGGAGTGATCCCGGAGTGCAGAGTCAGGAGAAAGCCCTGAGTACCACTGGGTGGGCCCCAACAACAACAACCACCCCCAAACTTAAAAAGATATGAAGGGAAAGAAAATAATGTGGGGCTGGAGTGATAGTACAGCGGGTAGGGCATTTGCCTTGCACGTGGCCGACCCGGGTTCGATTCCCAGCATCCCATCTGGTCCCTCGACGTCGCCAGAAGTGATTCCTGAGTATAGAGCCAGGAGTAACCCCTGAGCATCACTGGGTGTTACCCAAAAAGCAGGGGAAAAAAATGTATGTGTTCAGTAGAAAATACAGTTTCTTGAGTGGAAAAGGCAAGGAAAGAAACAGAGACAAGCAAGATACACGTTCTAGGGAGAACATGGGTGCTAGAAGAGCAAACCCGGGGCTCCAGGGAGGACTGGCTTTTTTTGTTTTAGTTTCATTTTGGGGGGCCACATCCGGTGGTGCTCTGTGCTCAGGGACTGAACCCAGGCCTACCACATGGCAGTGCATGCGCTCAGTCTGTTGGGTTACCTTCCTGGGCTCAGATTCATGCATTTAGCTGACACTTGAATCATCTCGGCTCAGAGGTTTGAGGAGGAAACCTCTGTGATATGGAGTTACCTACCTCAGGTTGCTCGGTGTCTAGGAGGAGACAGAACATATACTTAAAGACAAAGATGATGCATAAGTGCCAGAAATAAGTAACTATATGTTATGTGATTTGAGGGTGTGGAAAGAGATTCTCTTCTGAATTATTAGTAAAGATTCAGAAGGAGGTGTGGCAGGATAGCAGTGCTTGCTGGAGAGAACAGGATAGGGCTTAAGGCCCTTGTTTTGCAGATTCCATCCTTGGTTCCACAGGATCCCGTTTAGCACTACTGGGTGTGGTTAACATCCCCCAAAACAAACACGTTGCCTCTTCATTTTTGTTGAGTTTCAAGAATGGAATTTTTTCCCAAATGGGATTCTGTTAGGGGAAAGTAAATATTTAGTACTTCCACCAAGGAGTGAAAAATGAGAAGAACTTAATGATTGTAAAATAGGTTTTAGAGAGTCTGGAATCTGGTTGGGAGTTTTAATTTTACTTTGTGTTAGGGATTTTGAACAAGGGTATATTCTGGCCTGAGTAGCATAAAAGAACCAGTTTGGTGCGTGCAGGCTGGAATGTGTAAGACTCAAAATTGATTCCTTGCACCAGTTGGTCCCCTCACACCGCTGAGTATGGCCGCCTAAATAGAAGGGACCGAAGTGAAGACTAAATGGTGTGTGAGTGTGGGGGTGAGGGGAGCATTCACAGACAGTTCAAAGGGCTGGAGTATATACTTCTCATGCTTGGAGACCTAGGTTCAGTCCCTGGTACTGTGTGGTCCTCTAAAAAAATTAAAAGTTAGAGGAACGGCTTTGGGAGTGTGGTTTGAGTACATACACCTTGGGTTCGATCCTCAGAACCATATGCTGCCCACTATTCCAGGGCTATCACAAAAAAGGGATGGGTGGGTTAAGGATTAAGCGATTTAATGCTTCTTCCCCCCCCCCCCCCCAAATTCTCTTGGTTTGGGGGTCATACGCAGCCATGCCCAGGGCTTACTGCTTGCTGATTCTTTGCTGAGGGATCACTCCTCACGGGGCTTAGGAGACCCTATGCAGTGTGGATTAATTAGCAAGTACCTTGCTCTTTCTGCCATTTCTTAAATGGCAGAAAATGCTATTTTTCCCCTCAGTAATTTCTAATGGTTCACAACTTTAACAGATTGAGGAGGAAGTTACCTAAAGTTGAGATCCTGTCATGGATACTGTAGTAAATCGAGGGAACATTTGAGCATTACATCAGAGGAGATATGTTTTAAGAAGCAAGAAAATTAATGGAAATTAAAACAATAAGCATAGAGGAGCAATAGTACAGCAGGTAGGGCACTTGTCTTGCATGCGGCCAATCTGGATTCAATCTCTGGCATTCCATATGACTCTCCCTGAATACAAAGCCAGGAATGATCTCTAAGTAGCTTCCATGCCTCCTACCTCCCAGAAAAAAACTCCCCAAAACACAACAAAATCTCCAAAACAATAAGGATTAGTGCTGCTAGGCAGATGTGACTGGATGTATATAAAATGCTAGTGTTATTGAGGAGCTAATATTTTAATTTTGTAACTTAGTTTCATTGTTCTTTGGGCCTCACCAGCAGTGTTCAGGGTCCTGGAGGTCACTCCCAGTGTACTGGGCCTGCTCTGCAGCCTAAGGACGGTTCAGTTCTCTGTGATGTGCCACTTGGCCATACTGGGAACCATCAGACTGCCACATGCCAGGCATGCACTCCAGGAGTCATCTTCCTGGCCCCTCTTTTTTTTTTAAATTTTTTAATGAACTATGGGTTTATAACAGGTTTCGGGTGTACAGCCTTATAAATTAACAAATGTATCATCATCATATAATTGATCCAGTTTATCCACCCATCTAAATTTGCTTACAGGGCTCAGGCAATAGCTCAGAGAAATTGGAGCACATGCCTGGCATATGGAGACCTCAAGTTGTATTCCCAGAACTGCATGGTACCCCAAGCACTGCTTAGGAGGAACCTCCTCAAAAAAATTTTTTTTAACTTCCCTGGCATTGGACAGGTACACTGCATTGTACACTGCATTGGACAGCAAAATGTTTTTTTGGGGTTGGGAGGGTCACGCCCGGCGATGCACAGGAGTCACTCCTGGCTCTGCACTCAGGAATTACTCCTGGCTGTGCTCGGAGTACCATATGGGATGCTGGAATTGAACCCGGGTCAGCTGCGTGCAAGGCAAATGCCCTACCCACAGTGCTATCGCACCAGCCTCCTCTATTAAATTTTTTAAAGTGCCCTAGCAGGGT